AAACCCTAAACTCTAAACACTAAACGCTCTAATTTACTACCAGAGCCTGTGACTGCACGGGTACTGCCACTGTCTTGTCCTGCTGCACTCCTATGGCCTCGCATATGATCACGACCTCTTCAGTTTCAAAACAGCGTAGGTTTAGGGTTCAGGGTTTCGGGGCCTTATAAGACAGCCAGCCTCTGATCAAAGGCTGTTTGCAAAGGCAGGTATCGCCCTGCAAACGCTCAGAAACCACAAGACCATCACATATGCGTCAACCCTACAGTGCCCCAAAACCTGAACCTTAAGCCAAAAGCCTGAACCCGCAACCCTAAACTAGATGTACATTATTTCGAAACTAGACAAAAAATGCTACGCCCGGCGGTCTAGATTGTAATTAAAAGCCAAACGGGGTTCCCAAGCAACACCCATCAAGACCCCAAACCTGAAACTGACAATAGCCCCAAACCCTAAACCGCCCTAGACTTAAAACGGAAAAGAAACCCTGCAACGGAGGCTTCCTTCAGTGTCTTTAGGTCCGCGAGTTCTGCAAGCCTGGCCCAGCCATGTCACAGAAAACATTAAGGCATTAAGGTAGGGGCCTTAATGATTAGANNNATTATACTATCACTATAACAAGGAACACGCAAAAGAGTATAGGCAGTATAGGTAATTATCTAGGCCACTATATTAGGTTAAGGGCTTAGGTTCTAGGGTTTAAGTATGTTAAGGGTCCTGGTTTACAGGGGTCTACAAGTACGCCAATACAAAGGCCTTACAAGGGCGATGGGGGATACCATGACTAGGTCTTCCCACCCCTATAGTAGGGTTTGGGGATCTAGATAGCTTGAGCCTTCAAGGGAAGTTGGTCTGGCAAAGGTTTTGGAGAGAAGCGAAGGCATAGGGATCTGGGCTTACAGGTTTACGGACGATGGCCTCTCCGAAGCAAAGCCACGAACCTGAAAGCCGAGGCGCCCGAAGGCAAGAAAAAACAGCCACGGACGCAAAAACCGGCTCTCGCCCTAAGCTGAACCTCTTTCCCAATACATCAAACTTGAAAACCGTAAGACCTGAAAATAGAGATCCTGGCCCCTGTCCAAACTAAAGCCTCTGCGCATGAACAAGGGACCCCCGTAAAGGTGATCCCAAGGAACATCAACTTTAAGATCTTGGAGGATTTGACGGTACATTCTAGTATACTATACTATACCCACACACAAAGTAAGGAACGCCAACAAAAACAGTAACCGGTAATCAATCCGATCAGGCCCCCTTTATGACCCCTGCACCCAGAAACCACCGGGCCTCCGCCGATTGAGCTTCCTGGACTCCCCTCCCATGAAGCAATCAGCCGGAAGCGGCCGGAAGTAGCTGGGCCTCGTGGCTTTTCAGGTAATATAGGCACCTGAAAATTAGAATAGGGTTTTGGGNNNAATAGGGAACCCTAACAGTAATATTGTACGTATATTTCGGCTTCTACATTATACAAGCTTCTCGGGTTAACTGATCATGATTGTTGGAGCTTGAGAGTTTACAGGGACTGTAGTTCTGTAGGGTCTTACTTCACGTTGGCTGTTCGCAGTTCTAAAGGGCCGAATACTGCTGACCGACACAGTCCTTCATCATCCGCAAGAGACAACGGCTAAGACACAAATCCGGCAGTCTCTGAAACCATGCAAGATGTGCGTCAAATCTGAAAGGCCCTATAACCTATAAATCCGCAGTTTAGCCTGCAAAAACCCTACATCACATTACTGAACCCTAAACCCTACCTGATGAAACCCCCTGGGGTTAGGTGTCGAAGGGTGCATTGGTGATTCGGGGGTTATGGCTCAGGGGGGAGGTACAGGAATCGTTAGCGATGCTGCAATTGCTCTGCTGCATCCACACCGCCACCATGTTGAAGAGAAACCGGATTTTCATGTCAGAGGTCAGGGTTAGGGTTGTTTTCTTAGGGTTTAGGGTGCGCTTTGATGTGTCTTGTTCAGTCCTATAAACTTCCATAAGTCCTGAAGGTTAGGGGTTAGGGTTCATATACTCCTAAAATACCGAAGCATCAAAAAGCAGTGAGCATGAGGGATGAACTGGTGAATGGTATGATCGTCTGCAGCAGCGGCCTCGTACCCTCCAGTGAAGCCAGCGATGCCGAAGACAACACTGGTTTAGGGCTATTAGGGCTAAAGCCCTAAACCCTAAA